CTTCTTTGGGGTGCCGATGTGCACCTACCTGTCTAAGCAGTTCATCCCATGCCCCCCAGCTCCCTGACTGCCCCACTGAGACACCCCCAATTAAGATCGATGGCTTTTCCTTCGGCACGTAAATATTTAACAAGCCAGAAAGGTCAGGGCTAATCAGCATGCAGCTGCCAGCCAAACAGTCCTGGGCCACCCCGTGGGCTGCCCCACATGGGTGAGGGCGGCTGGGCCAGGGGAGGCACCAAAGGTGATGGGGGGGCTGGAGCCCCCCAGGGTGTTGGTCCCAACTTCCCCAGCTTGGGTGCTGGGCAACAGGTGAGCGGAGCCCCCAACACTGGGTTTGCCCTAACCCCTTTGCTCTTGCTCCCCAGGTGTCCTGTTCGCCCGCCGGCCCCCGGCCCCCCCGGCACCCGGTGGAGGGAGCACCCAGAGCCAGCCGAACCCTGTGCCAGCCCAGAGCCCACTGCTCCCAGCCCCCTCGCACAGCCACACTCCCACCAGCACCTCACCGTAGAGGAGATGCCCCCCCCCGCCCTGAAAGCATTTGGGGATACCCAGGGCCTGGGGGGCTGAGCTGTGGGACCCAGCTGGTCCACCAAGGTGGGATGGGGGACCCGAAGGTGCCCCTTGCTGCAATACTGAGCTGTGTCCGTGCAAGGCTGTGCGCACCCACGTGGGCCCTTTTGTCCCTTACCCCCGCACGTGGGACCCCTTCCCTGCACGTGCCCTCTGACACGTGCACCTTCCTTCCCAGGCGCTGCCCCCAGGCAACCCCCCCCCCCATACAGCTCCTGCCTTCCCTGCTACCTGAGCCACCCCCAGGCCCCGCATGCTGCATCCCCTGTACACCGCAGCCCCTATACCGACCTCAATGCAAGCACTGCATCCCCTATACACACCCCCAGTGCACACACTGCATCCCCTATACACACCCGCAGTGCACACACTGCATCACCTGTGCACACCCTCAGTGCAAACACTACAGTCCCTATATACTGCAGCCTCTATGAACTGTAGCCCCCATACACTGCATCCCCTATATACTGCACCCCCTACCCCCTGCAGACCCCCCTGCACAGCCCTCCTGTGCTGCCTGGGCTTGCTGCCCCTGTCCTGAGACACCCCCAGGGTTTTGGGTGTCCCCTGGCCACCCCAGGGTGGTGGCATCTCCACCCCTCAGGTCCTCAGCTCAGGGGAGTCACCCTGAGGGGCAGATACCAGGAAAAC